GTGCCCCCATGGGCGAATCCTGTAGGACCAATGGGCTAGAGCATTGCCTTGGCACTTACTCCTTTCCCCCAAGGCCCCTGGATGCTCCCTGGAGCCAGGGTGCTCTGTGCTGCCATCTGAGTTACAGCCCTCCCCTTGCCCATCCCACATGGCTGGCTCCCAGTCTGCCCCAGCACTGTGACGATCTCCCCGGGCCAGGCACATGCAGTGTGCCGTACGCACAGCCCAGACACCGCTGTCACGGTGGGGGCACGGGATAAACTGGACGGGCTGCCTTGACCGGCACACATCACCAGCCAGGGCTCCTGAAGCTAGGCTCCCACCCCAGGGTGATGTTACACCGCCTCCAGTGTGCATACGCCCCACTCGGTGTCTGGGTTTAGTGCTAATAGGGTAGTATGTCTAGAGAACAGGTGGGGGACAGGGTAATAACATGGGTAGTCAAGTGGGGTCATGAAAGCGGAAGACCCCCTGCAGTAGCAGACCGCCCCTCGGTGGCTCTGCCTGGCTGCAGAGGGCAGCCATCTTCCTCTGCGGTGCACCCTTTACCTGGTGCCCACGGTAGCTGTTCTGCCTCTGAGGTCGCAGGAGGTGGAGGTGAGGGAGCAGTCACAGGATGGCACGCCCAGCAGCGCCACAGTGGAGGTCCCAGACACATGGTGCTGCCTGGGTCTCCTTGCCCACCCTGGGAGGGGCCTCCTCAGGCTGATCTTCACCCCTCGAGTGCCTCTCTGACTCGCCCCTCCCCACGCAGGGTTCTGGCTGGTGTGCACCATCATCATCATCCTCAGCTGCTGCTGCGTCTGCCACCACCGCCGAGCCAAGCACCGCCTCCAGGCCCAGCAGCGGCAGCATGAAATCAACCTGATCGCCTACCGAGAAGCCCACAATTACTCAGCGTTGCCGTTCTATTTCAGTACGTACACTGAGCGTGCCGCACCGAGCCCAGGCCCTGGGGGCAACAGGGGGAGTGCCCCTCTGTATTAGTCTAGGTACTTTGGAGAAACAAATCCACAGCAACTCACGTATAAGAGAGAGTTTTATGCAAAGAAAA